TATCCTTCAGGGTTTATCAGTCATTCTCTGACAAATTGGTGATTCTGAAAGCCCGGGCATGACTAAGTATGACTGAGTATGATATTCTGTTGAGCAGGATCCCCTGTGACTGTGTCGGCTTGTCTGGGAGGTCACTCCTGGCCAGCTTGGGGAAGAAGAAAAGCTGAATGGGACAGAGCCTCCTTCCCCATGTAAATAAGAACAGACTGAGCCAGCCTTCCTCTCTAGTTCCGCTGGGCTGCTGCTGCCAGGAGCTCAGGGATGAGTCACCAGCTGACAGGCAGCCACAGTTCTCAAGCTCAGGCAGCACCAGCCCTCGGGCACAGTAGCTGCAGAGTTTAGAGGTGAGATTTTGGAACTGGGTAACACAAAGGGATCATAGTGTTCCTATGTGCTCTAGCTGATGATACCTGAAGACCCTTTGCTTGCTTCCCTTATCCACAATCCCTGGAGCTTTGGCCTAGGACATTGAATTCATGTCTCACTGAGAGGTATGACTTAATTTCCTTCCTTCCATCCCTTCCTTCCTCCTTCCTTCCTTCCTTCCTACCTTCCTTCCTTCCTATCTTCTCTCCATACCACTGAACCTCTGAGGATTCATCAAGTAAACATCAGGCACAAAACCTGTATCATCACCCCAAAGCAACTAATTACAATTCAAGATTCCTGCAGATCTAGGGCCTCCTCCCTCCTAAGTTCTTACCATCCTTCCTGCCTTCGCCCTGGTATCCTTTTCCTGAGAAGCTGTATGACAAAATGGAGCCATTACTTGGTATCCAGAAGCCCTGGATTCAGATTGCAAGTCCTCGCTTACTTGGTCAAGCCTCTTAACCTCTCTAAGCCTCGATTTCCAGGCCTCGAAAATCTCCCTGCATGAGATACAAGCCCATGAGGAGCCCAATATTAAATCACTTGTCAGCAAGCAGCCTCTGAGTCAGGGCTTCATGCTTGGCAAGGCAACTACCTCACTGTGAACTATTGAAAAACCAGTCCTTGACACAAGCATCCGCCTCTCACTGACAAAATGGGGTTGATGATGACAATGTCTACCTCATAGAGCTGCTGAGAGACGCAAATGCAACTGTGTGCAAGTAAGAAGCACTTTGGGAATGGAACAGCCAGCCCAGTGAAGTGGTATTATCATTTCTACAACAAGATAAGTGAACAGAAAGGAGGGCAGGGGAAGAAGAGCTGACATCATCTCCAGAAGGACAAAGACCAAGAAGACAAATGGGCCCAGGACCCTGGTAATCCATACAGACAGACTATTCAAATAGTCCACTGCTGAATTCCCAGAGCCTGACTTGGTGCTTGGCAAATCAAGCACATAGAAAATACTACTTGGATGGCATAAGAGTGAATCCTTGTGTTCCCGGTGCTTCTCATGTTGGCATTCAGTAAATGTGTGTTGGATTCATGTATGAGAATGAGAAGAGACTGAATCCAAAGAGACAAGTTCCTAGCCCAGTTCACCACCTTTGCAGCTTCCACCATTTTCTATGAAAGACTCCCATGGCCCATCCTGAGAACAGGAGTTGTGTTTTGCTTTTTAACTGAGATCCATGGAATCGCCTAAAATTATTTGCAGAATATAGCATGTATTGGAAAGTGTGACTTCCTGAGTAAAAATATATCCTGTCTCTATTCAGAAAAAAAAAAAGTAAGTAAACCCTACTCTGACGATGTACATCCATCCACCTGTTCCCCAGTAAACACCTAGCAATTGGGTTCATCAGGCCCCCAAAGGTTGCCAAATGACAAGTAATTTTTGTTTGTTTGTATTTTGTTGGTCATGGGCTTGACTTCTGGGCTCAGGTGCTGTCCCTGTTCTCTTCATCTCAAGGAGAGCACTCTACCGCTTGAGCCACAGCGTCACTTCCAGTTTTCTAGTGGTTTATTGGAGATAAGAGTCTCACGGACTTTCCCGCCCCAGCTGGCTTTGAACCATGATCCTCAGATCTCAGCCTCCTGAGTAGCTAGGATTACAGGCATGAGCCACCGGCACCCAGCATAAGTAATTTTTTTAAGAAAAAATGTTGTTCTTCCCTTTGTCCCTAGATCTACATACTAGGCCCCCTATAATGTATACGGCAAGTTACCTTTCACTCTCATACACAAAAGTTATGATCCCACCTTCTCAAAGGGACTTGCTTCTGAGCAGCTGTTCTGCTGGGTGAGTCTCACAGAGCTCTGCAGAATCTGAAGAACTATGCCACACCCCATACATTTGAATAGGACAGGTAGAGTCAAAGCCTACCATCTGAGCATACTAAGTAGGCTTCCTGATACCTGAACTCAGAACACTTAATTTAAAAAAAAAAACTTAACACAAATATGTATATATTCTACATATATCTACATATATTTACATACATGTACACATATCTACATATTTTTTGGAGGAAATTTAGAATGTGTAAATAAAATCACATCTTTCTCACCCTCCCTCAAAAAAAAAACTATTGTTAATACCTGGCTTATAGTCTTTCATTTACTATAGAATTGTACACCCAGCTGTACAGCAGGGTAGACAATGTCTGGCCAGCAGATCATATGAGGCTCACGAACTCATCTGCCCAGGCAACTGCATGTGGAACTCAAAATCCAATGAATCTAAGAGCTTTCTGCATAGCAACATAAATGTCAATACTAGCTAACATCACACTAAATGGCCCCTGGCAGGAAAAAGGTGCCCCACCCCCGCTCTACAGGTGCATAAGAACCGCCTGTCTCACATCAGGTACCTTTTATAAGCAAAGTTATACTCCCATAATTTTTTTTCTTTTTGTCCAAGACCAGGATTCAAACTATTGATCTGACACATTTGCTCATTTGCTGACACTCTACCTTCTGAGCCATGCCAGTGAAATCATACTGTATTATTACCTTGCCTATCTTACTCCATATTGCAAAATTTCTTTCCACAGTATTAAATATTCATCAACATAGTGACTTATAATGGCTGCATGATAAATTGCAGGCAACTTCCATGCTGCTGATGTAAGCCATGTAATAGGCTCAGTAAATGTGATACTGTCTAGAGTTTGGGTTCATTTTCTCTGCCGATTAAAGAATTAAAGGTCAGTAAAGTGTTTAAAGCAGACAGAGAAAGTTGATTTGAAAGCAAAAGAAACAGTGAAACTAACTCCTTGTGCAGGGAACAGTTCCAGAGCCAGGTGACAATTGCCTCCCCCTCCCTCCTCCTCCCTCTCTCCCTCCCTCCCTTTCTCTTTCTCTTTCTCTTTCTCTTTCTCTTTCTCTCTCTCTCTCTCTCTCTGATCTGGTGCCTCCTCCCCCTAGGATACGTTCCTGATCTGATTGGTCGAGGAGCGGACATGTGCTGCAGGGGAGTCCTATGATTGGCTGCCCTGCCTAGGAGAACAAGCCTGCAAGTGTCCTTATGATTGAGTCCTTCATCTCTGCTGTGGCTCCTGAGGAGGCCTACCTAGCTTTTCCTCAGATGTTTGTCCAGTGAATAAGCAAGTGCATGCACACATAGGTATGTTAGCCTCAGATGGTTCTGTCACTACCTAACCAGAAAAGAGGTCCATTGTCCTACAGGCACAGTAATGTGTAGACAGACCTATTCCAACTCTCAGTCTATATACATTGATTTGTATGTGTGCACACACCAGTCCTTAGGCTTGAACTCAGGGCCTGGGCATTGATCCTACTCATGGAGCCACAGCTCCACTTCCAGCTTTTTGGTGGTTAATTGCAGATAAAGAGTCTCATGGACTTTCCTGCCCAGGCTGGCTTTGAACCGTGATCCTTAGATCTCAGCTTCCTGAATAGCTAAGGTTATAGGCATGAGCCACTGGCATCCAGCTAATGCATCCATTTTGTTGGTCTCTCTCTTCTTGGTGATAAACTTACACCTGAGTCAGGGTGGGGTGCTTCAACATCTGAAGCTCGCCAAGGTGGCCGCCCCTGGAATCCTCCACCATAGCCAGGGGCTCAAGTCTCAGCCAATGGTATTTCAGTGTGTTAGTAATGGAACTCTTGTTGAATAATTTCAGCGGAAGAGCAGAGCTTCTGCACTTGATGCAGAGGCAGAGAGACTTGGAGCACTTGGTGACAACCCCTACTGCTCCAAAAAAAAAAAAAAAAAAAACCACTGTGAGGCACAGTAAGAAAACCAGGGGTGTACCAAACTCCAATTTTCTAGGTGGGGAATCTGAGGTCCAGAGAGAAAGAAAGGAGAGAGATAGACAGACAGACAGAGACAGACTGACAGAGAGACCGAGAGAGAAACAGAGACAGAGACACAGAGACACAGTCACAGACACAGAGAGAGACAGAGACAGACTCCAGAAATCACATCCAACTAAAGATAGGCCTACACTGGATCCCAGAATCTGACCAATGCTTCTACACCAGACTTTTCTTCCATATCACCTGACTGTTCCCCACCCCACTCTCAGTGTGCGGAGGGGTCTAGAGGTAGGCAAAACACACGACCCTGATCCTCTCTAAAGTCCCTCCCACCTCAGTTGGAGCACAGATCAAGAAAGACACACACACACACACAAAAAAAAAAAAACAAAAAATTCCCAGGCAGGCGTGGGTGGGGTTTTCAGGGTCACAGCCTGGATATACCCTTTTTCTTTTTCTTTTATTATTTTTTTCCTCTTGCTTTTTTTAATTGAGTTCGAGGTGGTTGTTTTTGTTTCCTCTAAGAAATGGAAAAGAATGAAGCTGCGTAAATACAACAATATTAGCTCTGGAAAAAAAAAAACCTCCTGCCATTTTAACTCTGTTACTGGAGAAATAAAAGAGAAATAATTTGTCCACCCACACTTAGCTCAGTCTGACGAAGGTAGGTGAAGATTGCTTTGCTAATCGAGGGTGACTGCTGGAAGTGGAGCCACGCTGGCTGATCCCGGATTGAGAAGAAGCCACAGCAACCCCAGAAGAAACCTTCCGTCCGCCGTGGGTCGGCAGAGCCCTGTGCAGGAGCAGGACTCAGAGTCATGGCCCGCATGTCCCACCTTCCACAGGTTTCCCCAAGCAGCCGGTCGTGATGGAAGGGCTGGACAAGGCCGAAGAACTCCCTGACAAGCAGAGAGAGATGCCACCGCCCCCACTACCCTCACCACCCTCAGAGCCAGCTCAGAAGCCACCACCTCCAGGCGGGAGCCACTCCCTCACCATAAGGAGCAGCCTGTGCCTGTTCGCTGCCACTCAGTTCCTGGTAAGAATGTCACAGGCCTCAGGAAGGCCTGGAGAGAGGGTGGGTTGAGGGACATGGCCATCTACTTCCTTCCAAAGATGGCCGTCTGGGAAGATGGGAGGTCCTTAGTGAGTCTTAAGTCCTCAAGATGGGTGTAAGGGGTAGGCTGGGATTTTGAGCTATACCTTCATAGCCCAGCCCCTCATACCCTACTCTCCCTAATCTGAGGTCTCACCAGGAGCACAGAGTTCCTAACCTTTGGTTTCTGGGAAAGTTCCCTTTTACTCTTTTGTATGCGTGGGATCTCCCTGGGGGAAAGACTTTGTCCCAGCTGCCTTTAGCCAGCTTTTCTCCAGAAAGAGTCCTGAGGCCTCTTCTGGATACATAGCTCCTGGACATTTCCCTCAGCCACCCATTCTGGACCTGAGAGGTTCAGGAGCCTCCTTAGGGCCTGGGTTGAGAACTGAAAGTGAGCTCTGCAGAGAAATATGGGAGCAAAGAGCCTGGGGGCCTCTGAACTCAGCCTGCTCCCCTGACTGCCCCAGCTTGCCTGTGGGGTGCTCTGGCTCAGCGGCCATGGCCACACCTGGCTGCAGAATGCCACAGACTATATCTCCTCTTCGCTCACACTCCTGAACCAGCTGGAACCTGAGGTGAGTAAGTTTGGGGAGTCCCAGGGTAAGGGGGGGCCTCCAGTCCTACCCTCCCCAACCTCTCCATGGGGCTTCTCTTAGTTCAGGATACGTCCATATCCCTGAAGTCTGTCTGCATGTTCTCTGCCCGGAGCAAGGATGTAGCTTCCAGAGTCTCTGTTTTGTTGATATTGAAATACATGGGTTCTCTGCCTGATTCACGTGTCTGATGTTCTCCAGGCCTGGCTGGACGCTGGGACTTGGGGGGTCCCCAGTCTGCTGCTTGTCTCTCTGTCTGTGGGCCTGGTCCTCGGTACCACACTGGTAAGACACCTCCTAACCCCACACTCAGTTCCTTCTTCTTCTTTCTTGAGATCTCCTCCCCACCAGATGACCTACAAGCTGAATAACCTGGAATCTGAGTAGGGCAAAGATAGGTATCTATCTCCTTATGCCAGAACATGCAGCCTAGAGTGAAAGTCTCCTTTCTAAAAATTGGTTTACGGGGATCCGGGCTAGGGAAAGTGGCCAAGACTGCGGAAGGGAGGGAACACCAGGTCCCACCCAGAAGCAGAGTCCACAAGAAACTGAGGGTTTGTGGAAGGAGGAACAGGGAGGAAGGGTGGAAGCATGGAACCTGATCTCTAGGCACACAGCGGCACCTTGTAGACAGTTCCCAAAAGAGCAGAGTTGCTGTAGACACTTGCAAGGCAGAGGGCTCAAGCCCATGGCTCCCCAGGAATCCAGGGGACAGCCCTTTGGTCCCAAGCCCAAAATGCCCTATGTTCCCAACCAGGTGTGGCATCTCCTAAAGCCCCCCCCAGAACCACCCACCCCACTGCCACCAGAGGACAGACGCCAGTCAGTGAGCCGCCAGCCCTCCTTCACCTACTCAGAGTGGATGGAGGAGAAGGTTGAGGATGACTTCTTGGACCTGGACCCTGTGCCCGAGACACCTGTGTTCGACTGTGTGATGGACATCAAACCTGAGGCAGACCCTGCCTCACTGACCGTCAAATCCATGGGTCTGCAGGAGAGGTGGGAGGGGTGGAGGAGGGGTGGGTACGATGGGACTCTCAGCTCTCCACTCCCATCCAGAAGGGTTAGCTGCCGGACTCTGAGTTCTGATAGCCAGGATCAAACTAGCCTCATAGCTTAGCCAGTGTGGATATTTGGGCTTTTCAGGCGATTCATGTAGATCAATGTACCCTAAGATGAATGCTAAAAAAAAAAAAAACTGTTACTACAGTCATGTTATAAGTGTGTGCATCTGCACACTTACAGACTCTCCTTGCTCTGTAAAGCTTGGGTCTATTTCCTTACTGCAGGACTTAGCAGGACTTTTTTCATGTCTGGAGATGGTATGTAGCATTGACCACAGAATGTTGCTTTTTGAGTGTTTCATGGTCTTCCACAGTATATATTTGGGAGGTATAAATACCTTCTTCCAAGAGCTTGTGTGGATCTCACAAGGTTTGTGGGTACCTACATGATGTCATAGAAAGAGTACTTGATGGGGAGTAAGAAAACCTTTGCACCCACCAAGTGGATGAAAGCCTTGGCAATACTGGTCCTTGCCTTGTGGCAAGGCAATTCCCCTTTCTATGTGGGAGGGCCGTTCCTGTTCTCTGGTTTTAGACAGCATAGTAGAGTTCAACCAATATGGCCATCCTTGCTCCCCCTGGGAATCCTCCTTCCCTGGCAGCTGAGGTTCTATTTGCCCTTGGATGAGATGTCCTTGACCCAGTGGCAGCTTTCTCTCAGGATTGCTGAGCTCAGAACTGGGTTGCAGAAATCAGGGGCCATCCTCTCTGGCTAACGCCCTGTCTCTGCCCTCAGTAGGTATGTCCCCCATGTGCTGCCAGCAGTCATATGTGATTCCAGGGGAAGACCATCTTGGGGATGTTTTAGATGGAGTTCTGGAACTGGGGCCCCAAAGCCCCACTGTAGAAAGCAAGAGACAAGGATGTGAGCCCTCACCTCAGAAGCTGAGTCTCGTGTTCCTCAGGATAGGGTCCTCTTGTCAGACGCCTACTCCTCTTCCTGGAGCCCAATCTGTTCTCCTCTGACTGTCCTCCCTCCTCTCTCCATACCTGAGGGCCCCAGATGAAGGCTTTTCCTGCTAGAGACTCAATTCGTCTTCCTTGGTCCTTCCAGGAGGGGTTCCAATGTCTCCCTGACCCTGGACATGTGCACTCCAGGCTGCAACGAGGAGGGCTTCGGCCACCTCGTGTCTCCACGTGAGGAGTCGGCCCACGAGTACCTGCTCAGCGCCTCCCGTGTCCTCCAAGCGGAGGAGCTGCATGAGAAGGCCCTGGACCCCTTCCTGCTGCAAGCGGAGTTCTTTGTGAGTCCCCTAGCCAGTCGCCCTGCTATGAGTGGATGGTTCTCACAGCTCATAAGGCTGTGAGCCTGTCAGGCTCCTGTCTGGTGTAGACCTCATTATCACCTCTCCCGCCATCTTGGGTGAACTCTTCCCCTTTGAACCTCTGTTTCCTCATTGGAAAATGGGACGAAAATGATAGGGTTCTTGCAAGGATTAAACACAGATCGTGTGTGTGTAGGGTACCTAGTAGGTGATTGGTGTACAGTAGGATTTCTAGGCCTGTGGTCTGAGAGGCAAAGCAAGCCAGGTCTTCTCACTGTCCTGACCTCCCATCCTCCTCTGCAACATTGCCAACTACATCATCCTCTTGACGGCTCTCCATTCACCTCCCCTCCTCCCCACCGCTGAGTCCAGCTTAGGTCTCAATCCTGGTGAAGCCCCCGCAACCACCACTGGCTGCCTCCTGTTGAAGTGAAGCCCAATAAATAATCTCCTTATTCCCCTGCCTGAGTGCTCAGCCATTTAAAAAACTAAGATATAGATCTCTGTCACCTGTATTTCTATAACAAGGTAGGTTTGAAGTGAGGCTCAGCGATGTGTAGCAACAGTGAGCCTCTTGATTCTGAGCTCTCTACCATCTAGGGCAGTGCTGGCCTTGCCTCATAGGGGTGCGCCCATAGTTCTTTCTTGGCATAAGGGGCTGAGAGGAAGACTTTTAGTCCTCAGCTAAAGCATTTTCTTTAAGCAAGTTCCCCAATCAGGTGAACTCACCCACCATTCCCCTCAAACCAGACTCTAAGCTCTGCAGAACTTGGCATTGCTTACAGGAGAAATCGACCCACTCAACCTGAGTTGGCCTAGCACCAGCCTTCTCCCAACCTTCTGCTCAATTCTCCAACCCCTGCAAGGACTGCCAGTCCCACTGTGTCTCTGTCTTCCTGTACCTTTCTCCCATCATTTCCCACCCAATGCCTCTGGTAAGCCTTCCTCCACCACCCCAGCCTCAGCTCCTGCTCCAAGCTCCACCATCATCTCCCCTTGAAGAAACAGCTGGCATCCTCCTCATCCTTTTCTATTCAGAAGATAGCCTACATGTTGCCAGAGAGGAAGGAGCACAGCATTGCTCACCCACTGCACGTGCGGTGCTGTGCGTGTGCTTTTCCTGTTTCCTTCTTTTGATTTTTACAAGTCTTGGTATTATGAGCTGCATTTTACAAAGTCCTTAGAGTGTGTTCAAAAGTTGATATGAAACTGTGTGCAGTTGACTGCTACACTGTGCAGACTGGAAAAGAGTACAGAGGCAAGTGGTACTGGGAAGTCACCCTCACAGGCATCTGGAGGAAAATGGAGCTGGGGGTTGGCTTTAAGCAATGGGGACAACTTAGAGAGGTGGAGACGGACCAATCGAATGCCATGAGCTCAGACCTGGAGGCAGGACTGAGAATGGCAAGTCAACCACAGGGAAAAGACAGACATAACTGGGAGAAAAAAGAGAGGCCAAGTCCATAAAGACTTTGAGGTAGGAGCGTGGGTCACACCTGGCACTTTTACCAGAGTTGTTGGGAGGTAAAGAGGGAGGCCTGGGAGAGTAGGAAAGGGTTCTCAGGCAGTAGTCTTTCTTTTAGACAGGATATTGCAGACAAGGGTGAGGTGGGAGTTATTCCATGAATGAGACCACAGCATGAACTCAGTTCATGAGACACACATGCCCAGGGAAGGAACACAGATCAGCAAAGTCACCTGGACTGGCAGATGCATACAGAGCAGGGAAGAAGGCAGTGATTAGCGAGGTCACTTTTTTTTATCTTATTCTTTCCTTTTCATTCATTAAGTGCTGCTCTATACCAAGCTGGCCCACAGCAAAGAATAATGGTAGCATTTATTATACTTAGACATGTGTCAGGCACTAGTGTCAATTCTCCTGGGTGCCAGCTCATTTAAGAGTAAACATTGGTTGAACGAATGCATGTGCTCAAGCCAACCACTGTACTGGAAGTCAGGGCACTGAGCCCCTAGATTTGGACATGTCTGAGAGTAAGTAAGCTGCTTACACTCCCCCAACCCACCCATGTTCTCCTCTGGCAGGAAATCCCCATGAACTTTGTGGATCCAAAAGAATATGACATCCCTGGACTAGTGCGAAAGAACCGGTACAAAACCATCCTGCCCAGTGAGTACTACTCCCCAAAGTCCCAGGAAGGAGGGAGGGGAAGGCACTGTCTCTCACCTGGTAAGACCTTAAGTCTAGAGCTGTGCCTCCAAGGGTGACAGGACACTTATCATGGGAAAATAAGGGAAAAGCAGGAAAGGGACAGGGAAAGACACTCAGAGGGTAATTCACTTCCTTACACAGCATTGACTAGACCCTTATTCTCCTTGGCCAAGGATGCTAGGTACTGCAGAACCCCAAGGGAAAAAGCAGCTCCCACACTGTGCACAGGGACTGACAAGTATATTTATACCCTTTCTCCACTCAGCATGGACTTTTTTTTTCTTTTTTTGGTCCTGCAGTTCAAACTCTGGGCCTGGGCACTGTCCCTAAGCTCCTTTTTGCTCAAGTCTAGTGCTCTACCACTTGATCCACAGTGCCACTTCTGGCTTTTTCTGTGATTAATTAGAGATAGGAGTCTCACAGACAGGCCTGCTCAAGTTGGTTTTTTTCAGTCATGGGGCTTGAACTTTGAGCCTGGGCGCTGTCCCTCAGCTCTTCAGATCAAGGCTAGTGGAGCCACAGCACCACTTTCAGCTTTTTCTGCTTATATGGTGCTGAGGAATCGAACCCAGGGCCTCATGCAGCACTCTACCACTGAGCCACCTTCCTAGCCTTCTCAAGTTGGTTTTGAACCAGGATCCTCAGATCCTCCAAACCTCCTGAATAGCAAGGATTACAGGCGTGAGCCACTAGCCCCTGGCTAGCATGGACAGATTTTAAAGTGAGGAAATTAAGGCTCAGAGAAGTTTAAGGAACTCATCCACAGTTAAACAGACAGGAAGTACATAGCTGATTTTCCAACCTGGGCCTCTGCATCCTAGAATTGGGCTTTTTTTTGGTGTCTTTGTTCTCAGTAATTCTCAGTCTTCCAACAGGCTGAGCCATCCAGACCTCCTGAGTAGCCTAGGATTACAGGTGTGATCTACCCTACGGGGAAGGACCTCTCCTGTACAGTAGCGAGCTTCTGCCACCCAGTTTGTCGGAGCAAGAGATGGTCTGAGGGGGATTTTCCTCCTCTGGGGGGGGGGAGGGACAGTTAGTCCAGGTGACCACATGTCCCCATTCCATCCCTGTGGTGTCTTTTTCATTCCTGGGATAGCTTGGGGGTGACTTGTTGGAAATAAATCCCCTAAAACCTACTCCACACAGTTTGTGGAGTAGCAAGGATTTTTTTTAAAAAGCAGTTTTACCATCAGCATCTCCAACAACATGTAAGATGTCATGACTTATTTTTAACTTTTAAAATATCGACTTGTGGTTGCTATGGCTACACAGTCTCTAGGTAGTTCTGGTTAAACAAAGCACCATTTAAGGCCAGGATGCAACTATTCAGGCTGCTCACCTCTTCCCTCATCTTGCCCTCCCCTTCCCAGCTCTACCTGCGTGGAGGGGCTTGGGTATCCCACAACCTTTCTGGCTATCCTGAATGGCTGCTGGCATCAGCAGTGGTTCCCACCAGGCTGTTGACAGACTCCAGTCACTTCCAATCACTCCTTGAGCCTCTAAACCCCGAGTCCCAGCATGGAATATCATCCATATCCAGCCAGAACTTGTACCCTGCATCCTCAGGCACTGGGCTGGGGGACAGAGGGATGGTTAGACTTAGCCAAGAACACCTCTTAGATCTGATACCAAGGCACATTCAGAACATGTTTCTTGAGTCTCTGCTCCAGGAACCCAGAAATCAGGCAAGAAGGAGACTCTGGACACATAGAGACAAGTCTGTAGACAGCCATCGTCTTCATCCAGTTGGTAGCCCTGAGAACAGCAGGCAGAGGGACAATTTCTGTATCCTTTACCACAGTGTCCCAAGCACGAGGGCAGTCGCCTGGCATGTGGGAGACATTCTGCACCTGTTTAAATGAATGAATGAGAATGAGTGAACAAATGCCAAATTGAGCCCCCTTTCTCCATCCTTACTATAAGATTATTGGGGAAAGGGGTTAAGCTTTCACACTGCCCAGTTTGGAGGTGCCATTTTCATAGGGTGCCCTGGGAATCTTGCCAGGCAGGGCCTTCCTGTGACCTTGGCACTTACTTGGATCACTGCAGTAATCTCTTAACTTGTTCTCCTGAGTTCTACATTCTCTTCTCCTGCCTGTCTTCCAGTGTTGCTACCAAAGTGGTGCAAAACAGAAATCTAATTGTGTATTCCTCCTCCTCAGCACTGTCATCATCATCCTTTCTAAGATCCAGCTTCATCTCACCAATCCCAACCTTGCCCCTGAGTACCTGAATCAGAGCAGTGTTCACTGTTCCTCCTCCAACTCCAGCCAGGTGCCCCCTCTTCCAGGAAGCCCATCCACCTTAGCCAAGTCAAAGGTCTCCTCTGCTTACCCAGCCCCAGTGCCCGTATGCCATGCATGACTTGTCTGTTTATCCAACACTGTTCCTTCTCTGGGGAAGAGAGTGTGTTCTTGTTGATCTAGAAGTCAGTTCTGTCTCACCTTCACAGTACCAGACAGAGTCTGTGCCTTAACCCAGGGCTATGCAATAGAATCATTACCATCACCACAGTGATTTCTTTTTAATAGCAAAGACCCTAGCATTTAGCCAGAAAGAACAGTGCCCACTTCTGTCCTTCAACCACCTAACTTGGGCAAGTGAGATGGCCCAGGCAGAGCTGCCTGGTCCAGTCAGAATCCCTCCCCATCTCCTCCACCCCCCACCCTCACTTAGCCACACTCCTCTCCTTCCCTGCCACCCTTCTCCACTTTCTTCATAGAAATTGTCCAGTCCCCAGTGAGATGCCAAGATTTAGTCTCTAGGCGGAGGCAGGTAAAGGGCTGAAAAGGGAAGAGTGATGCCCATCATCTCCATTGCTCCCACCAGGTTGAAATCCCTCTTTGTGCCTATTTGTATCTGGTAAAACTTGTACTAACCAACAAGAGTTAACTATCTGCAATGACCTGTGTGTACACCGGTCTGCACAGCGTACTGGTCTATGGACCCTGCTTATTCATGTTAATTCCTTAACCCTTTCTTAAACAAATGAGGCCACCGTGGAAGGAATTTATAGATAAAGCCAGGGAGGTTAAGTAAATGGCACATGTAAGTCACACTATCAGGATCTGAACCCAGGCTGTTTGGCTCAGAATATGGAGTATTAATTGGCATCACCCCCTGTACCACTGCCTTTAGGAACCCCATAATGGGTACACTGAAAGAGCATTTAGGCTTTAGTCCTGGAGAAACTGAGGCCCACAAAGGGATAAGACATAATGCAGATGACAAAGCAATTGGAGCTCCTGGCCCAACCCCCCACCCCTACCCATCCCCCCCCCCTCCCCCCCCCCCCCCCTGTCCTCCCCCCCCCCCCCCCCCCCCCCGCCAGTAAGCTTCCTTGCCCACTTCACACAATGTCGCAATCAGTCCCAGCCTCTCAGGCTGACGGTTTAGTCAATACAGAGAGACTGTCACTGGAACAAAGCAAATTTTACTCAGGGAAGAACAAGATGTTATGGGAATCTGTTACTATGGGATTTGACATGTGAAAAGATTACAGGGGGGGGGGAAACCTTTGTGCACATGTCTTTATGCATCAGAAATACAAATGTGGAAGTTTTATCTTTTTGTCCCAGTATTGTTCTGTAGCTTCCTACCTTCAAACCTTAGCCAACCTCTCCATTTATAAAGCACTGTGCAGTTGATATAGCACTTTCACATCTTTCCTTGATTATTTTCCCAAAAGGAAGCATCTTTTTACTTTGAACTCTAAGTCTTGAGCTTGCTAGGCGAGCATTCTCCCCCTTGAGCCATACCTCCAGCCCAGCTTTTTGCTGATTATTTTAGAAATATAGTCTACCAAACTTTTCAGCTTATGGTGGCTTCAAACCATGATCCTCAAGATCTTACACTCCTGAGTAGCTAGTATTACAAGGATGAGCCACCAGGACCTGGCTGACAGGAGGCATCTTTATCCCTACTTTATAGGTAGGAAAACTGAAGCTTAGAAAGACCACATTTTTTATAAGCTGAGACAGAAGTCAATGACAATGTGTATTCAAACCCTGGCTGCTACCTGCTCCTCAGGCTCTGTACCCTAGGTCATTCCTTTCTTGACTAAATTTCCACATTCCAGAACATGAGATGACTACAAGGACAGTTTGAGGGTACGGGCAAATGGCAGGGATTAATCCTACAGAAGTGGAGAAGAGCCAGGGCCTCTTTCTGTACCCTTTTGTCCTTCTTGGCTTCTCACCTGCCTGCATGGACCAAATCTGAGTCAGTGTTGAGCTACTGGGTAGGGAAAGGAAGAACTACTTAGTCTCAGAAGAAATTGGGTGCTGTCCAGTGGGCTAAAAAGCCTGGACTAGAAGACCCAGCTCCCAGCCTCACCTGTCTCCTCTCACCCCAGATCCTCACAGCAGAGTATGTCTGACCTCGCCAGACTCCGACGACCCTCTGAGTAGCTACATCAATGCCAACTACATCCGGGTATGTGGCCCCACCTCAGTGGCCTCCCACTAAAGAAGAAACCTAAGCCATCAGATCTAGACTTGTTCCTAGCCCAGTCTGGTTCTTGGCAGCCCTGGGAAGAGCTAAGTATGGGGACTGGGCTCCAGGGAGCCCTTCCCTTGGCCCTAACAGGCTGAACTTTTCGGCTGCAGGGCTATGGTGGGGAGGAGAAGGTATACATCGCCACACAGGGACCCATTGTGAGCACGGTTGCCGACTTCTGGCGCATGGTATGGCAGGAGCACACGCCCATCATTGTCATGATCACCAACATCGAGGAGATGAATGAGGTAAAGACCCCTGTGCCATTATTTTCCTGTTCATCCTTGGGATAATACTCTATGACTCTATGTCAAGATGAGGCACCATAATGTTAAGTCAGGTGTTCATGACCACACACAGCCTGGAGCTGGCCTTTCCCTCTCCAGTGCCTAGAATCTTAAGCACAACCCTGTGCTGCTTTCCAGAATACCAGGATGGATGGATGGATGCCCATGTCTATAGGAGCCCCATTTCACTAAATTACCATTTTCCAGATGGGAAAACTGAGGCTCAAGAAAGAGTAGTTTAACAAATGATGAAGTTAAGATCTGACCCAACTTTCTCTAATTGCACACACGTTGCCCTTGGTAAATCCCTCCAGTGGTGCGGAAGGCATGGAGTAGATGTGGGAGGGAACCAGGGTGGATCATAAGCTTGGCCTGGGTTTCTACAGAAATGCACTGAATATTGGCCAGAGGAGCAGGTGGTGTATGATGGCTTGGAGATCACTGTGCGCAAAGTCATTCACACCGAGGATTATCGGCTGCGAATCATCTCCCTCAGGGTGAGGCCTGGGGCTGGTGGAGGGGTGGGTTGGGTTGGGAAAGTAGAGCCTTAACTAGGTACTCTACAGAGAATCTCTGACTGCTAATGCAGGCCCTACCTTCTCTAGCCCGTTTCACAGCACCCAAAAATTCACTATGATGGAAATAAAGGTCTATGTCACTCCCCGAATTTACTAGCAATCAGGGTTGAGGAATCATAAATGGACTTGGGAGTTAGGGCAGGACCAAGTCCCAACTGCATTCCCCAAACTTCAATTGGATATAATGCTATTGGATTCACTGTCTCTCTCTCTCTCTCTGAACAGCCATTTATAATGTCTCCTATTTCTGCTTCAAATATTTCCAAGGCCTAGATGGTCTAGGTAGACTGGACCTCAGAAACTTCTAGCCCTGACCTTTTATTATGACTTTGAGACCCAGCCTTGTAATATCCCTTCAACTGAGAAGCTTCTGACCTGTAGTGCCCCATATATCCACCAGAGAGCAGGCAATCCTTGCTGCTATGGGTTTGCACAGGAAGACTGTAGTTACAAAAAATAGCAATTTAAAAAAAAAAAGAAAGAAAAGAAAAGAAAGGCATACAAATTATGAGCAATACAGAACAATCCAGAAGAGTAGGGGGAAGTATCCTCCCACCCCTAAAGTTGTGCTTCTTCCAGGATGAGCAAATAGGAGGGACTGTTCCTTTGGAAACAGGGGATTAGGAGGTTCTGTTTTTGAGAAACAATAAAAGATCCATGTTTACGGAAGGTAGTGGCCGCTATAATAACCTAGAAGGGCAGACGAGGTGAGCTAGGCAACCAGAAATAGCCTGGGAAGTCTTGCTGATGCTCATAGCCACAGAGTCCAGCAGAAATGAGCACCAAGCCTGAAACTTAGCCCTCTGAGCTGTCGCTCTCCCACTGGATGGTGGAAACTTCAGCCCTAAAGGGCAGTGCCCACCTGAGCCACTTCCAAGATGTAAATCTCACTGGAGGCCCTAAGGAGCCAGAGAGTAAGCACTAGAGTCTGAGATGGCTGTCAGAGCCAGGTAACCCCGAAACCTGAGAAACAAGCTTTCCAAGTAGAGATTCCCTGGAAACAGAGGCTTGTTGGTATAGGGGCTTAATCTTCCTAGAGCTGTGTGGCTGGTTAGAGGGAAAAGCCAAGACATTCAGGGTTTGAAAATATTTACCTTCATCCATAAACTATTATGATCATCTGTCCTTGGCTTGGTTCTGAGTTGGGTATTTAGAACCCAGCTGCCCAAAACCTGAACTCTCCTCAAGGAGCAAGTAAGTGCCATGGTATGTACCATGCTAGAGTTGTTGGGGGGAGAGAAGGACACAGGCTGGCATCCTCCAGGAGGACTTTCTGGAAGTGGTGATGCCAACAAAGGTCTTGCAAGATGAGCAAGAATTGACTAGGGGCAAACAAGTACGGAAAGCATTCCCAGCAGAAAAAAGTAAGGACATGGGAGATGGAACTACTAGCGGGTGTGTGTGTGTGTGTGTGTGTGTGTGTGTGTGTGTGCGTGTGCATGCATGCTATACTACAGAGGTTTTTTTTACATCTCTTTTGCAGTGCTAGAACATCCATTACAAGCGTGCAGTGTCAGATGATGCAAGGTTAGGGCCTAACACTGGGGGTCTTATTTGCCAGGCTAAGGACTTAGGCGATTGGGTTGTATTTATTCAGAGAACAGTGAGAGCCATTGATGGGCGTCTTGGTCAATTTGGATTGCTATAACCAACACCATAGTTTAAGTGGCTAATAAACAACAGGTTTGTTTCCCACAGTTTGGAAGGCTGAGACATCCAAGGTCAGGCGTCAGCATAGTCAGGTCTGATGAGGGTCCACTTTCCAGCCTCATGTGACAGAAGGGGCCTCGTCTCTAAGGTCATGGAATATGGTAAAGGTTCCTACCTTCCAAGACCCTTGCATTGGAAAGTAGGTTTTGGTATATTAATCAGAGGATGGGAGGGCATAAACATTTGATCTATCAGAAAGGGTTTTTCAAGCACAGCACAGCGTGTCCAGATCTGTGCTATGGAGAGGCCATCTTGACTGCTGTGGGCCTGGGGTAGGCAGTGATGAGAGTGGGATCTCAGCTCAGTGGAGAGATGATGATGGTCAGTTGGGGGTGAGGGAAGCAGGGAGGAGGATGTGGACAAGAGGATGGAGAGATGAGCAGGCAAAGCAGAGAGAAGGGAAAGGAATGGTGGTATATTTTCACCCTGTTCTGGGTCATGTGACTAAGGGAAAACTGGGACATTTATCATAAGAAACCTGGAGACAGTAATTAATTGGAGAATGGCTCATAGCATCTCTTGGATGATGGGGGGGGGGCGGAGAGGGAGGAAAGAAGTGAAGACTGATGACAAGGCTGCTGACCAAGCTTTGGCCTCTGTCCTATGCCACTGGGCAGGAAGGTGTAGGCAGAATGGCTAAGGGATCCCATTTTCTGTGTGCTCCTCACGTGCCATCTTTTTCTCTGAGCAGTTTGGGGACTAAACACATTCACGTGTATCTGGGGTGGGGCCTCTGTCTCCTGGGCAGAGTGGGACTGAAGAACGAGGCCTGAAGCATTACTGGTTCACATCCTGGCCTGACCAGAAGACCCCAGACCGGGCCCCTCCACTCCTGCACCTGGTACGGGAAGTGGAAGAGGCAGCCCAGCTGGAGGGGCCCCACTGTGCCCCCATCATTGTGCACTGCAGGTGGGTCCTATCAGCCACTAACTGTGACAGGTCCACCCTCCCACATCCCCGGGCTGTCCCTCCCCTCACCCTACCCATCCCCTCGGCCCTCAGTGCAGGGATTGGAAGGACCGGCTGCTTCATTGCCACCAGCATCTGTTGCCAGCAGCTGCGGCATGAGGGTGTTGTGGATATCCTGAAGACTACGTGCCAGCTCCGTCAAGACAGGTCAGCCCACGGGTAATGGTGGGGGCATGCAGAGTAGCTACAGCCTGAGGTCACTAGGGAGACACTGACTGCTTGAGGATCAGGGGCAGATAGCACCCCGGGCACAGGTTGATTGGCTCAGAGAGGGCAGCCGAAAGAAGACAGGATCTAGACAGTTCTTCTTATGGAAGAAAAGTGAAGAGACAGACATAGCTGGTGGACAGGACAGGGTCGGAGAGCAGGTGGCATGTCATCTGTGCTCCTGACAAATATGGCCAAAGGCCCTTCTTGGCAAAGGTTGTTCTCACCAAGCTGCATAAGAACAAGGCCACCAGCATGCCTCCCAAGGGTCTGGTACTCAGTGGGTTTGGGGACCCCCTCCTTCAACCCATCCCTGTGATCCCATTGTGCATCTCTGCTGGGCAGGGGTGGCATGATCCAGACATGTGAGCAGTACCAGTTTGTGCACCACGCCATGAGCCTCTATGAGAAGCAGCTGTCCCGCAAGTCCCCAGAGTGACCACGCACCTCCTCTTGAGGTCCTCTGGGCACTGCCCAGCCTGAGTCTGGGTCCTCAGTCCAGCCACCTCCAGGGCCTTGCCTTGGACTCTGGGCCTGTTTCAATCTCTTCTCCATCCTCCTCCTTTTCTTCAGTCTGCTCCTTCCCTCCTCTGTTAGCCTGGCCTAGCCCCCTACCCCCAACCTAGCTCTTCCTACTGTATATATTGGGGAGTTGAGGGGGGCAAGGGAGGGATGTGCCAGGCCAGGCCTGGGGGCCCCAAGGCCTGACCCACACCACGCAGACCTGGGGCCTCATTTTTAACCATGGTTCCATTGCTGTTTGATCCAAAATGTTTCTATGCGGCATCTGAGTGTCCTGCCACAATGTGTCTGCCCATCCATCTCTGCTGTCTATACCGGACACTGTGTCTCCTTGGCCAGGAAAGGGGTAATTAGCTCCAGTTCCTAAGTAGCCAGGCAGTGGTACCTGCCTTGAGGTACCCTTATGTCCGTCTACTTCTCCCAACAGGCAAACTGTGTTTTATTTTCTGCCCAATTTTTGGGACTAGGATGTAGAGGACAGGACTGAAGACTTAGAAGCCAGGCAAAGGAGCTCTTGATGGGTTGGTAGCAAAAACCGAGCTGGGGAAGGTTTCTAGGTCAGGGTGAACAACATGGTCAGAGTGGCTTCTGGGTGTCAGATGCCCCTCAGGAGCCAATGACCAGCCTGTGAGGCACTGGAAATGTAGGGGACAAGTGGGGATGGAGAGTCCAAAGGACCTGGTTGCAGGAAAATGGGAGCTCCAAGGCTGAGTTAGGGTAAGGACTTGGCTTCTGATCTGTGTGGGACATTTCTCTGTGTCACTGTGGGAAAGCCTCCCCAAAAGTCTCGCTGCGTGTCACCGTGCGTGTGTTCCCGTGTCCATGCGTGTGTTGAGAGCCCGTCAGCAGGGCATGCATGACTCTTTGGCCACATGTGTTATCTTGGAGCCACGTGTTTCTATTGCTGACTTTAAGTATTTATTCCACGGCAGACAGAGACATTTGATGTCTTTTTATAATTCGCTCGTGGTCATTGAATAGAGCAATAAACAGCATTTTGAGCAAAACTCGGTCTCCTGAGTTAGTAATTTATCTCTTCCCTTTACTCTTTGCCTTCCTGTACCTCAAGGCTTTGTGCTGTTCTTCCTAGCCCATGCACACATGCTCCTGCGTGTGCGTGCGCACACACACACGCACACACACACACACACACCCTCATACTCACTGGTGCCCCTGTGCAGATTGGGAAAACAAGAAGAATCCAGATTTGCAAACTTGTAAATCCATTCTGCAAGGATTCTCAACACTCTTAGTCCCAGACCACTGAGGTGCCCTGAGCCATAGGGAAGCTCAAAAATCAGCACAGAAAGCTTCCAGGAAAGGCAATGTGGCTGGGGGTGGGAGGTTCACAAGTTAGTCCAGAGGCCAAGGCTGACTCAGGTCCCTTCTTGTTGACCACCCCACTTACCCCATGTTCACCCCACAGGTCCTAAAAGCAGCTGTGCAGCCCATCAGTTTCCGTTGTAAGGCCTGAGCTTAAAAAGTAGCCCTTCCCAGGAGGCCAAGAAATCAGAGAGCCTAAGCCATCCTCAGACACACCTGCTCTATTCTTATCCTCTGCCCCTTGGGATGGAACAAAAGTAGCTGTGACACCACTACTCAGGGATGGAGGTCACCCTAGGGCAGGAAGGGGGGTGGGATAATCAACAGGTGACCTGCCAGCTGGTCCTTACAAGACACCAGAATCTTACAACCCAGATCAAGAGTCCAGGCATACAGGTTATGTCACAGATAATGAGGAAAGAACAGATGCAGCTGAAGCAGCCCAGAAGTCTCAGAAAAAGAAGCCTGCTCTTACCATCCCATAGAGATACCTCTCCAGCAGAATGGCCCTTGTACCCAGATTCCAGCGTTGGGGCTGTGGAATGAGGAGAGGAGAGTTAACATTCTCCTCTCCTCCACCAGGGCGACCCCATAAGGCCACTCCAGCTGCGTATGTCCCACACATACACTGCAATGTACAATGTCCCCTCTTTGGGTGCAAGGTATCAGATCTGCTAGACCTTTCCTGAAGTGCCTACTCTCAATACCAACTCTAGTCCCAAACCCTGTCGGTTCTAATGCACAGGAGGACGTTGCCTATACCCTCATAGCCCAGAGAGTTCCCACCCATCGGAAATGCAAGGCAAAACCCTGACCACAGGGCACAGGAAAGAAATGCCACTGGACCAGCCACCACCAGCCTGCCTCCCATCTGGTCCTTACCATTTTTTCCAGCCTTGGATCCAGATAGCTTCCCTCCTACATTTCCCACCCCCGAAACAGTGTGCCATCTGGCTGAAGTTAAGAGCCTGAGTAAGGGATCTCCCCCAGTAGGGGTGGGGGCAGCCATCTAAGGAGCTGATGGCTCTCAGTGCCCCCACAGTTGGTGCAAGAAAGCAGTGGACACGACGTTCAAGTGTTGGAAATTGATGGTCAGTGCAGAAGGTAAAAGACTTCCTTCTCCCTCTTTCCTTTGGAAAGGGGCATAGTCTGGTACCTTCTAGCCCAGAGGAGGACAAGGGATGAGAGCAGGAGCTGGGATAGAAAACTGGTCTCAGAATCCAGCAGTAGAAGCAGCCCAGGGAAATGTATAGAGTAGGAGTAGGGGAGGGTTTTTTTTTTTTTAATCACCTGGCTCAAAAGTAAGACTTGTTTCCCTGGAAGAGAACTAGACTGAGGGTCAAGAAGCTAGGAATCTGTCCTAAGTGAACTTGTAGAGATCCATTCAATTGGATATCAGTTTTCTCATCTATAAACTAGGGGTTTAAAAACTGTGCTTAAGCCAGGCACCAGTGGCTCGTGCCTGTAATCCTATTTACTCAGGAGGCTGAGATCTGAGGATCTCAGTTCAAAGCCAGCCAGGGCAGGTAAATCCATGAGGCTTTTTAATTCACCACCAGAAGAAAAATGAAACTGGATGTGGCTCAACTGACAGAGTACTAACTTTGAGCAATAAAGCTCAGGGACAGCACCCAGGACCTAAGTTTCAGGATCAGGACCAGCACCAAAACAAACAAACAAAAAAACATTTTGTACTTGTTAATAAAGGTGACAGCAGCTACATCCATTCACTGAAATGGGCTGTTAACAAGAATAAGAAAACCTTTACATACTACAATGCAAGATTTCCAAGACACAGTAAATGAAAAAAGAAAGGGACAGAACAGTGTAATAACAGGTAGCCTGATATGTAAAATGAGGACAGGGACAAGAGCATATGTCCATGTCTGAGTGAAGGGATTCTAGAAAGAGCTGGAGAGTATACATTGCCACCTGTTGGGGAGACTTGGGAAATGGGGGACTTAGGAATGGAAAGGCATTTGTATTGTTTCAATGTATTCAGTTACTGATTCGGAAAAGTATAAGAAATAAAAATTAAACTCCTGTCTTTACCAAGCCACCTCTGCGGTGAATTCAGCATTGTGGAAATGCATTGTCATCCTTCTTAGCATTCCACCAGTGCCAGAGCTCAGGAAGAAGATCCATAGCTTCCTTCTAAGAGCCACTCCAGCACAGCTTAGGCAGGAAGTTCTTCTTTAGGTGGGACTTCAGTCCCTTCTGGTGAACCATGCAGCACTGTTTCCCTAGGCCCCGCAGGCGTTCTCAGCTTCCTGGGGGCTTTTGCCTGGTTGGGTAAGTTAAGTTGAATCCCTATATTCTTTCCTTCCCAGAACTTGGAATGGTTTCAGGTTACTCCATGAGGGAACAGGCCCACTGGTCCTTGTAACTCATAGGATAAAGGGAGATTGGGATTAAACAAATGATGGCCCAGAAAGTGTAGGCCTGGTGCTGCCTGACTGCTCTTCTGTCATTTGCTCTGTACTCCTATCTCCCCTGTGCACACATACACAGGCACGTGCATATGTGTGCATGCACGCCTCTGAATATCCCTCCTAATTCCTTATCGTTCATGTCCTCATCCTCTCCCTGGTCTAAACAGGTGAGTGCACAAACCTGCTGTCACCATGACAACCATTCACCAGCAGATGGTACAGGAGCATGTGTCCATGGAGTTCTCCAGCTCCACCACCCACCTGCAGACCTCCCAAACAACCAAGATCGTGGGAGGCAAGTGGAATGGATGTGGCAGGGGAGGAGGGTTGGGGAAAGGGCCTCCTTTCTTCCTCTACAGTCCCCAACTTGCGTAGCCTTGGTCTTTGCCACAGAATACCAACAGCAAATCCGTCCCAACCTTGTACTTCCAATATGGGGCTTGATTGCACTTCACCCAGATTGATGTTTACTCACAGATCACATTTCTAGGAAAACAGATGGGGAAAAACCAATCACATGGTGTTTGTGAAGGACTGATAAACTCTTAATTGCTTAAAGTGTTTGGAACCAGAGGCAACAGGACTGCATGGATTTCAAGCAAGCTGAAAGTAGGACCATTTTACCTCATCTACAATGAGTAATGTTGACCCTGCTTCACTTAAGAAATGGATGACTTGGCCACCAGTAAAGACAGAATGAACATGTAAACAAATGACATAAGCTCCCAGGCTTTTACTTCTTGGAGGCCAAAGTTGGAGGAGGGCAAATCCCAGGGAGAGCTGAGAAAGGGTCTCAGAACAGAGTATACTGTTTTAGTCATGTCTCTAGTGGAAAGTTATTAAAAGATGGATAGGAGCCAGGGTTTTGAATATCCATTTTACAATCATTGCCTCTCCCTTCAACATCCCAGAAGAACAGAGTTCCTCAGAGTCCTCTGTATACAAGGCCACCAGATTAACACTACACCAGCAACTTCTGGCCAGAGAGTCAGAGCAAATGGCACAGCTGAGACTCAGGGTCTACAGTTTAGACCAGACGTTGTGAATTCAAGTGATTATACCAGTGATTCTTAGCCTCATTGCTTAGCTGCATATTGGAGTCAGCTCAGTGTAGAAGCAGGGGTGGGGTGGAAAATGACAATATCTTAGTCTAACTCCAGACCATTAAAGCAGAAAGTTTTTATTATCTTTGAAGTATTTGTGCAGAGGAGTTGCCAGTTAACAAAGCAGTGTATGAATATAATGCATCTTGACCAATGTCACCCTTCTTCATTCTCAGCTCCCAGCCCTTCCCTAGCTTTTGTAGGCTATACACTGAACTCTTTACTGTATCCTCTCTTCTCCTCTTTAAATCTGGAATTTTTAAGCTCCCCTGGGATTCCAAGGTGCAGCCAGATTTAAAAAACACTGAGCACAGAGCTCAGACAGGAAATATGAATGCAGGGTAAGAGTGGAGACCCTGTCTAAAGGTGCAGCCCACAGCTCATTTCCACTTTCCATTCAACACTGGAAAACAAGTCCAGTGTTGAAAACACAATTGAAACTTTGATATAAAATCTTTCTCTGTCAGATGTAAGCCTACTCTTTTGGGTATGCATTGTGTAAGTCAAATAAAAGACACCTGCAGAAAAAGGAAGGATAACCCCTCTGTACAACACCTTAATTGTAACAATAAAATTATATTTAAAATATATAATTAAAAAATAAATAAATAAAATATATAATTTTAAAAACAGGAAAAAGACATCAGACAAAAATACGATCACCTGCTTCACTGGAGTGCTGTGCTGATTAGATAAAACAATCTATGATGTGTGCCTAGCCCAGTTTGTGATACAAGGCCAGTGTTCCATGAATCAGAGTAATTGTTAGTCATTAATAACTCAACAGCCAAGAAGATTCTCTTTAGTTTATACTTCAAAAAAGTGGGTTTTGTTTTTCAAATATAAAATTATATTTGCACATGGATATGCCCTTAGTGGCTGGGGTACAGCTTACTGGTAAAGTATTTACTAAGGCCTTAGGTTTGATTCCCCAGCACACACACACACACACACACACACACACACACACACACGTAAGGAAATTTCCATTTATAGCTCCACTGAGGTGGGAATGTGTCCTTTCCAAAGAATCACGACTTCCAAAGCCAAGGAATGCTGGGCCTCCAGAATGGCATGGAGAAAGTCTAGAACAGAGCTCAGCTGGCCCATCTATATGCTGGAGGGTACTAAGACTTCCAGGAAAGAAAACCCAAGAGACAGAGAAAATCTCAAAAGGGAAGTAACCTTTTTGAGTTTATAATAGGACTGGGTTGTGTCCCTCCCTGAAGGGACTTCAACTCTTCAGGTCCTTTCAAGGATTCATTGTCTCTCGGGCTCCAGCATTCCTTAAGTAAGGATGCGTCACTCTCCATTCACCAGGCTGCGCACCCATCTGGGGCCCATTCTGACCTCTCACTTGACCCACAAAGGAAGTAGTAACAAGGAAGTCCCCGAGCACGGTGGAGTTCTTCAGCTTGGTGACTTGACGTTCCAACATCCCTGCAGGCAAGAATGTTCCTGAGTTCATGGAGAAATCTTACCTGATCACCTCGCCAGAGAGTGTGTCCTTCTCTCCCTGGGATTCTTGTGTTTCTGATTCTTCCATTCCCACCCTGGTGTCCCCCAATACACAGATACAAACTGAAGGTCCCACCCCTGCCTGGGTCCAGGTGCAAATCCCTGGGAGGACACAGGGAGTGGGCAGAGCGTCCAGCCTGCAGGCTAAGGGACGAACATGTATTCCTTGGCCACCACAGGGGATAAAGCTGTGTTCCAAGCCTGAATTCAAGGAAACCCCAAACCCAATGTCTCCTGGAAGAGGGAGAGTAGCCTCCCCGTCAGGGAGTCACCCAAGATAGACTACGACAGCATTAACAAGGAACGTGCTAAAGGTATGGCCTGATCCCCAGGTCCAGCTGCCACCCAGGGGTGGACTGTCCAGCACTTTCTTGGACTAGAGTGCCTCCATGGCTACCCAAAACAAAACAAAGGTAGACAATAAAGAGATTGTCATGGCCTTGGCATTGCAGCAGAATAGGAGGAGGCTAGCTCAGAGACCCCAGGTTGCCAGAACCAACTGATGACCAAAGTTATCTGTTGCCCAAGCCTGGAGAAGGCACTGGGAGGCCAAATGGAAGCCAAGGGTGGGAGGGTTTGGGGGGTCCAGAAGGTGAAAACTAAAGAAGAAAATGCTAGAAAGAGGTGGGGCCTTAGTGAGGAGCGACTTAGCCTTGGAGTAGTATCCAGACATAGGCAGGGACTAGACTGATCATAGCATAGCCCAGAGTACCCCGAAGAGTCTTGCCAAGGGAGAGTAGGAGAGTGTATATAGGGTACTAGGACCTCCAGAAGAGTCCTGCCAAGGGCTGGTCGTCCTTACAGGTAACCATCTTTTGAGCTACGTCCTGAGAGCTGCTACCTAATTGTAACTTGGTTTCCGGTTCTTTGAGAAAAGGGAGGATAGGTCACTGGAAGGCTCAGTCCTAGCACTACTCTTGTCCGTATCATTCCTCGGGTCCTGCCCCCACTTCTCAGTGAGAAAGACAAAGGTTGCCCCTCTCCCCCAAGGACAGAAGTTGGTTCTCTCCCAGAGTCCCATCCCTGACCCTCTTGGCTATGCACAAGCTGTCCTAGAGTCTCCCTGCAGGCGACCTCTAACACAAGCTCTGGCATTCTGAGAGCAATGGCTTCCTAGAGCCCACTCAGCTCTGATCCTCACACAGAGAGGCATGAAGTCGATCTCATTCACCCATTTCCTCTGGCACTCATCCCAGTGACTGGTACAAAGGAGTATATTGTTTAAATCACAAAATGCCAAAGACTGCAGATAAGTGTTACAACTCAGAAAATGCTCACCCTCTAATAGTTCATAGCCAAGAGGGAGAGTCTCATCATGAAGCAGACTATGTTATTGTTATTGGGATCTGTAGGCAAACATGCATGCTTACACTGGTTGCTACCTGGCACCTCCCATCACAGACTACCCAGCCTTCCACACATATATCCAACACTTAGTTCTGCTCTTTTTTCCCACCTCATAGAACCTCTTGTGTAGTTCCCACCCCTTCCCCGACTAATGGTCTGATCCTGATCCAGCTGGAACCACTGACCTCAGATGACTCTGACTACTACAAATGCACTGTAAGTAATAACTATGCAGGTGTTATCTATCCTGTGTCCTTGCTGGTGACAGAGGTTAAGCCAGCCCCCTCATCCTAGCCTTTTCTCTTAGGAACCAGATTTCCTATATCTGACTATGGTCTTCTGTCTTCAGGTCAAGAAAAACTAGATCTCAAGAAAATGTTAAAGAAGAGGTGAGCCTTAGAGGTCCCATGCGCAGGGTTCTGTCTCCCACCCGAAGCTAGACTCTCTCACAGAGAGATTCTACAACAGAGACCCGAGCTCCAAGAATCCATAGAGAGGGGAAGGGTGTCTAAGGTCAGGGAAGGACTGAATACAAGCTTGGTCTTCTCCTACCCAGCCTCTCCCCTCCCGCAGAGCTCCTCCCACTCCTAAGAAGAAGCAGAAAATAACAGATGAGAAAGAGATGCTAGAGATTTTGTCCAAGGTGCTCAAGAAGGACTTTGAAAAGGTCTGCAGAGATCATGGTTTCACTGATTGACTTCTGGGGGCTGCTGAAGAAGCTCAAAGGAATGAAGAAAAACGTGGAAGCAGGCCTCTGCTCTTCAGGGAGCAGAGGCCTGCAGGCTGGGAGCTGGGCTTCACCTGTGCGCGTCCCCAGACTTGCACACATATACTCAGAGGCATTCGGTCTGCTGCAAGAGCAGGAAGAGACCTTGTCAACCTCTGTCTCCTCTTTTCACTACTACCTAATATTCTTACATAGACTTACTAATATTCTTACACAGAGGAGTCAGGCAGACCTGAGTTCAAATCCCAGTTTCACTGTTTTTACTTATATAAACGGGGGGTATCTATAAGTTTCAGTTTCCTTGTTTGAAAGTTTAAACTTATACTTCTCATTTGTTTTCCAATTGTTATTTATTCATTCATTCAATCAACTCAAGTGAATTGATAATACAGTTACATCATCTATGCAGTGGGTTCAGATATGCAGTCACTGTTTTTTGAATAATGGTTCCTTTATCATCTTCTTGTTCTAAATCTTCCGGGTGATCCATGAATTGGAGAGGGTATTTCCAAATAAACCTAGCACTTTCTTCCAGTCATCTACAGGTGTTGACAAGGATTGTGAACACAGCCTGAGCAGGCTCCAGATACTACTAACGCTTGTAATTTTGTGTTGAACCCTTAACACTTGTGAAAATAATCTCTCTCAGCATCTGGATTCTGAAACCCCTGGAAGACAGAGAGGGAAAGACTGATACCACAGTAGTTTTTGACTGTATCATGGAGCTGAAGGACCCCAATGTCAAAATGCTATGGATCAAGGTACAGAAACACCTAGTCTAGACTCACTCTGGCAATGTCATGTCTTCCCTGACCCTCTCATCATCCAGAAGCCAGGGCCTCTCTCCCACCCATCAAGAAGATGGTCAAAAGAGGCTGAAAATTGGTGTGCATTGATTTTTGTTGTTTTGGGCAGTACTGGGCTTGAATTCAGGGATTTTTTTCAAGTAGTCTACCACTTGAGCTATACCTCCAGCCCTTTTTTGTTTTTAGTTACCTTTCAGGCAGGGTCTTATGTTTTTGGGGGTCCGGTTGTGGAGCCTGAACTCTGGGCCTGGGCTCTGCCCCTTAGCTCTTCAGCTCAAGGCTAGCGCTCTACCACTTGAGCCACAGCGCCACTTCCAGCTTTTTTCTTTTTGCTTATGTGGTGCTGAGGAATGGAACCCAGGGCCTCAGGCATGCAAGGCAAGCGCTCTACCACTGAGCTACCTTCCCAGCAGGGTCTTATGTTTTTTCCTGGGTTGGACTCAGATTGCAATTCTCCTAGCTATGGTCTCCATCTTAGTTGGAACTTTAGGCACATGCCACTAGGCCTGGCTTATTGAATGAGTTGGAGTCTTGCTGCTACCTTTGGCCCAGGCTTGCCTCAAACCATGAGTTTCCTGATCTCCACCTTCCAAGCAGCTGGAATTACAACTACAGCCTGGGTTTTATTTTTTAGTTGTTTCCTCTTTCTGTGCCTCAAACTACCCACCTTTAAACTGAAAAGCCAGATCAAATAGTTCCAGAACTCACTAAAGATCTGTGCCTTTATGAAAGGGCATCTTTTGAATTCACACATATTGAAAGTCTGGGTCTTGTGGGGAGACAGAGATTCGGATTCCCACCAAGCTGGATATGAAGCTAGTAACATTGTAGGGACCATGGATAATGTTTTGAGAGAAGGATAAGCATCCTTCAGCTCAGCCTGGCTTTGAGGCACCAGGAACTCTAGATGTCTCCTCCTACTTTGCTCATCAGCTTACCACTTGTTCCATGAGACAGGATACTGAGCCACTGAGGATCCAGTACTCCATTGGCAAGTACGATGTGAAGCAGGTGGGCACCAAGTACATGCTGGTGATTACCAATGTCAATATGAATGATGCCAGCACCTACTGCCTGGCCATGGGTGACAAATGGATGAGTGCACAGCTCACAGTGTTGGGTATGAAAGGAGACACGGAAGAACAGAGGAACATCAGGATACAGGAATGGCCAGGGAGGATCCCACAGAAATAAATATCGGAGAGAGAAGACTGTGGGGCTATGCACAAAAGGACGACCTGGGTATAGAAGTTAATTAAATGGAAGAAGACTGGGAGATAAGTGTCATTGAATAGAGTAGCATAGTGGTCTAAGGGGACAGACTCTAGCTAGACTACTGGGGTTCAAACCGCAGCTTCTGTCAATTATGAGCTATTGAGTTTAGGGTAAGTTGTTTAACTTCCTTGCTTCAATTTCCCCTGTCTATAAAATGGGAAATCACAATAAAAATCTCCCTAGATGAGAATTGGATGAATTAATAAGTGCAAATTGGCAAGAATAATGGCTATCATGTATCTAAACTAAATAACTGGGGGTTTTTTAATCGCTGTTAACATTACTGAAGGGGAGACTGTGAATGGGAACTCCTGAGAAGAAGAGTTCACAAGTGGAAGGAAAGAAAGAATGCTTTCCCCCAACTGTGGTCTATAGGAAGTCATGGACCCCAGGATCTCTATGCCCCTTCACCACTCACCTCCCCTCTTTGCAGCAGATGAACCACTGAAGTGCTTAGGAGGGATGAAGCCAGTGAGGGTGACAGAGTGCCAGACAGCTGTGTTTGAGGTCTACCTCTCCAACTCCATGTGGAGGTTCAACAGGCAGGAGCTGAAGAGGGATGACAAGAATGACATCTCAGTGTCTGAAGATGGTCCGACTCATATGCTTAAGATTAAAGATACCAGACTCAGCAACATTGGTAAGCACTCTGCTCAGGCAGGAGACCTGGAGCAAAAGGCTCAGTTCACTATTACTGACCAGTGAGTAATTAGGTAGGTGTCTGAGGGGCAGGTTTCATGCCACCACAACCTTCGTATGGTTATCCATTCATCCATCCATCCATTTCCCCTTTGCAAGGCCCTGTGATGGGTACTAGAAGGTGCTCCTCTAAAACTCTTACTCTAGTAGTAAAGGAAGACATGAAAATGAAATTATAGTAAGAGTTCTTGCCAGGCACTGATGGCGTACGATTGTAATCCTAGCTACTCAGGATGATCACCATTCAAAGCCAGTCCAGACAGGAAAGTCCATGAGACTCTTAACTCCAATTAATCACCAGAAAACCAGAAATGGAACTGTGACTCAGAGTGGAAGAGTGATAGCCTTGAACAATAAAACCTCAAGGACAGAGCCTAGGCCCTGAGTTCAAGTCCCACAACTGACAAAAACAAACAAAAAAATCAAGAGTTCTTAACCCATGAATAAAAACACACTAGAGTCTTATCATCAACTGGGAGGACATGGCACAAGAAATTATTAGACTTTGAGGCTCTAGTATCATATATTACAACAAGACTATGTTATTCTTGACTACTTTCTCTCCAATATTTTAAATAGTTTGGAGATTTGTATGGATGGTGGATATACCAATCAACAATATCACCCACACACAAATCACTACTGGAATCTGTCACATGCAGTCATTATTGCTGTGATGGAGGAGAGAGACATAGAAACTATGGGATCCCAAGGATGGGGTACCACTAGATGTCAACTATGATATGATGAGGTGAGGCTTAGCTTTACCAAGAACTAAACCACTTCAGCTTTCCAGAAGGGGGAAGAGAAGAGACATCAGCAGAGGTAATAGCATATACAAAAATCTGGATACCATACAAACAAGGCAAATATGACTTCAGAAATATTAACTGTAGTGCTATAAACATTGTCCTGTTTAACATGTGAGGAAACCGAGGTTCAGGTGCATGCGTTGCATAAAGTCAACTAGCAAGTGAAAGACAGAACTAGGACTGTCCTTACTGTGTACTTCAAATGAATTCAGTGTCTTAAGTTCTAGTGTTTTCTTTGGTCAAAAAGAAGAGTAGGTGGGTTGGGAATGTGGCTTAGCGGTAGAGTGCTTGCCTAGCATGCATGATGCCCTGAATTCAATTCCTCAGTACCACATAAACAGAAAAAGCCAGAAGTGGCTCTGTGGCTTAAATAGTAGAGTGCTAGCCTTGAGCAAAAGAAGCTCAGGGACAGTACCCAGGCCCTGAGTTCAAGCCCCAGGACTGGCAAAAAAATAAGACTAGGGATCCATGGAAATGTAAGAAGAGAGTATACAGGTTTGAGAGCAGATTGAAGTGCTTGTCTGTCTGGCTACAAGCATTCCTATCAGATTTCTGAGCAACCTCAAAAGCAACCTCAAAAATGCACATGTCAAAGGAGCCATGCATGCCTCAAGTGTGAGCTGACCTCCAAGTATGTGACATTGCAGTGGAAGAAAGATGGAAAGTTGCTGACATGTGGCTCTAAGTACAGCATGAATCATGAGGGCAAACAAGCATGGCTGGTCATTGAGGATGCACAGCTCAGTGATGGCAGCGAATACACTGTGGTAGCCATGAAGGACGGGGACCCTACTGAATATGCAGCAGTGCCATTCTCACTATGGAAGGTGCGAGCCCACACTGTTGATCCAAATGAGCCACTCTGCTTGACACTAGCATTCCTTACATTGGACACTGATATACATCTCTCCTGGCTCCAACCTTCCACCAAAATATAACCAACTTACACCTTCCCAAAATGACCGTTCATATCTTCCCAAATCCTAACCATCCCTAATCTTCCATATCCTGAGCATCTAAACCTCTTAGACTTTGATCATCCTCCCCATCCAATCAATATTCTATTCCAGTTTCCCTGACTTGTCTTTTACTTCTAGATTCTGAGCATCCCTTGCAACCCCAACCACCCCAAACCACTTGGTCTTGACTATCCCCTACTCCTTAATCATAATTATTTTCCACTGACCCTGACCACCCTCAACTCCAGTGACTCTGGGTATGATACAGACCAGCATAACAACAACTAAACATCCCAGTTCTACAAAGAACCAAACTGCATTCCCTACTATCTAGTCCCCTTTATCATCAGGATATCCTAAGTCCCAGATGACCATCCTCCACTCGTCAACTCCATGTTAACCATCTCCCAGTATTCTTGGTAGCATATCCCAAGCCACAAGCCTTTCCCCAACACTTACCTCCTACTTGCTCCAGTCCTCCCACTGACCATCTGAAAATCACCTACTGACCATTGCCAAACCACTTGTTTACCCCACAATCCCACTACCTACCCTTCTGCCCCAACACCCTGACCCAATCCCGGCCTCTCTTTCTCCCTGGAGTGTTGTCCAATGTGCACGCAGCCACTGGGAGCCCCACTGAGTATGTGTAGTGCTTAATGATGAGAAGATGGAGGGTGTGTGGCTGACAGATGTGGCAAGAAGGTTTGAGGCAGGGGCCAGGAGCAGGAAGGAGAAGTTCAGGCTGACCCACACTTGCACTCACATCTGCCCCTTGTCTGCAGATCACAGACTTGCCAGGCATTCAGATCATGAAGCAGGTGTGGTGCCCAAGCTCATCTTCCCCAGTATGGGCCCAGAACATGAAGGCAAGTAGACATTCCAGGCCAAGGATGCAGAGAGTGAAGCCTCAGTATTCATTGCAAGTACTGTCCACTCAAGGTAGACAACGCTCAGTGAAACCTTCTCACGGCCTCTCCCTTCCTCAAGGGCTCCTCTTACCCCTGGTAGGCAAGGCTTTTTTGATGCCATCCTCTGCAGGTCCTCTCAGCATCGACCCATCAATCCTGGAGGCACTAGCTGCACACCCTGTGACCCTGTAGGTGGGCCACACAGCTTACATCAAGATGACCTTCCAGGCAAGGACCCAAAGTGACATGGTACAAGCATGGCATGGAGGTGACAGAGGAGGAGGAGCACATGTCCATGGAGTGTGGAAAAGACTAGTCATTGCTCACCTTCTCAAACTGCATCTGTGAAGACAGTGGCCTGATCATGCTCAAGCTCAAGAATGACCATGGCACAGCCATCGCTACACTGCATCTCAATGTGCTGGGTGACAGCAAGGCTGGGCAGAGTTGAGGATACCCAGCACCCAGCACTCAGGTAGCAGGTGGAAAGGAGGCTTCAGACAGAGCTAGAGTTTCTGGGAACAGGATTGAAGTGCCGGCTTCGCAACCAGAAGTCCACTAATTTCCTCAGTGACCTGGGTCAAATGAACAACTATAAACCTGTTTTCCAATTGGAACAATGTGGGTTTTTCCCCCTACTCATTTCCAATGATTTGCAAGTGCATACCCAAGTAGACCTTCCAATATGTCACTTAAGTGTTATTATTAGCTGGATGATAAGGACATTGTTGGAGATATGGAAATGAGATGAAAAAGACTTGAGATTTAGGAGAAGAGGTAAAATTGTATGCTGAAGTATGTGGGAAATAATATGAAATGGAGTAGGAAATGAGAGGGTTTAGGATTAAAAATAATATGAAATCTGGATTAGGGGGTCAGAATGGAATCTAGAAGTGGTCAGAATATGAAGAGGAGGAACTAGCCCTCCTAGTGAACTTAATATATTCATCACACACACACACACACACACACACACACACACAGAAGCACCACCACCTCCTCCACCTGCATTTTCACTATGCTGTGGATGTTAAGGATTTTTAATTGAGTTTAACAGCATGAATGAGCATCTCCTCCATTTTTTCCATGTTGGGGACATAGAAATGAAGTTCCTAGCAGTCTCTCGGCCCAAAAGGGATAAATCTGGAAGATGAATAATTATAACATAGGGTTGACTATGATACCAGAAAGCAATGGTGTTCCAGAAGTTCAGAAGATGACAACAATTTGTCTAGAAGAGGACAATGACCCAGCTAAAGCAGGGTCCCAACCTGTTCCTAGGCAGGCAGGAGCATCAGAGGGACAAGGATCAAAGTTTCTGGGCAAGTCTTTGATGGAGGGGTAATGGACACAGGAAAGGAAAGCTCAGAATACAGTTCTGCCCAATCTGGCCAGATCTCTGGTGAGTGGGCCAAGGCCTTCTAATCCTTTGTCTCATTGTAAAGTTATTCTCTGTCTATAGCCTCCCCAGGGCCGAGTAGAATTCCTAGAGCTCATGGGTAATGTGTACACATGAAATAGAAAGCCCCAAAGGACAATGGAGGACGTTCTGTGACACAGTTACAGTGGAACAAAGGGCAGTTGGCAAGAAGTGCTGGGTTAAGATTGGAGAGTGGATGGCAAGTCGCCAACTTCTCCATCAACAAAGTGGAATAGGGGAAAGCCTACCAGTTCCATATCCTGGCAGGCAATTCAGGTGTGACCCACTGGAGACTGATGAAGTGTTTGTGGGAAATCCTATAGGTCAGTAAGGCTGCCTATTGCTCACAGGGAAGAACAGAGGGGTCAGAACAGAGGCTTTTAGCCAGTGATGAACACTGCAGGGAATTCCATAGGTTCTTCTCAATCTAACTGTCTCATGAAATAAATGGTGTAGAGGAAGAACAGAAAACCATGTGCATGCAGGAATTCCAACTTTTTCCAATCAGATCACATATAAAACACACCCTCATAGGCACACCCAGAAGTGCACAATTCCAGAAACTAACTCCCCTTCTTTCTCCATTCCAGTAATCATCCTGGAATCTAAGAGAGCATGGTGTTACTTTAAGGATAATAACCTTGAAACCATTCTCCTGTGTTCCAAAGAAAACCCCTGACAATATCAGCATTTTAATTATGATTGTTAATTAATTACTTGCTACAACCCTCCCAACTGATTTCTGCACCTCAGTGTGTCAAGATAGTAAATTGAGAGCTGTGGTGTGGGGGATGGGTGTCACACTGGTTGAAGGTTTAAGTCAGTAATCTTCCTTACTCTTGCCTACACATTAGAATCATCCTGGGGTCTTTAATAAATGTTGATGCCTGCCCACTAAACCAAGTCAATTGAACTGGAATATTTAGGAATCGAATCCAGATACTAGTTTGGTGGGTTTTGTGGTGGGGTTTTTGTGGTAGGGTTTTGTTTTGTTTCGTTTGTTTGTTGCTAGTACTGGGGCTTGAACTCAGGGCCTGGGCACTGTCCCTGAGCTTCTTTTGCTCAAGGCTAGCACTCTACCACTTGAGCCAGAGTGACACTTATGGCCTTCTCTGTTATGTGGTACTGAGGAATCGAACCCAGGGCTTCATGCATGCCAGTCAAGCACTCTACCACTAAACCACCTTCCCGGCCCCCCAGATACTAATTTTTAATGATGAGTTTTTTTACTCCCCACTTAATGTTTATCTGCAAAAACTTTTTAAAAATCATTAACTTTTCTTTAGGTGTGAGCAGAGTCAACATGAGGTGAGGCACTGTCTTCATTCCCCCTCCCCAACCTTTGCCCTCTTTTTTTTTTT